ATTGAAGTAATACAATAAATATTTTCTTTTTCACTTTTCAACTACATCTCACAGTTATTTATTTATTTATTTAAACACATAAATATTGGTACAAAAAGCATCAAATAAATATGCACCGCACAAATCTCATTTGATTTGTGTGAGGGCTGAGATACTGTCCAGGTGCCCAGACTGAAGCAGATGGTTTTCTTAGGGGGCCACACCCGGAGCCTTAGACCTAAAAGTCTGATCCATAAGGCAGTGAAGCATCGTGAGGAGATGCAGTCTCATGGTAGCCGGTGACCAACAACAGGTTCATACGCCATTCGTTCCTTCAGGATACTGGAGCCCATGTTCACCATTGGTTTGGAATCAGGGTTTTCCAACTCCCCTAGCTGGACCCTTCATGTCCACCAACCCGGTTAAAGCGCCAGACATTCGCTCTTCGTCCTCTCAATTTCGTAAACAACAGTAATGCCACGAGAAGGCAGTGAGTAGGGCTTCCCTTGCAGAGGCTATATATTCGCGTGGCCATGTGAGAGCATTTCGAGAGGGAGAGCGGACTCTCCTCACTCTCGGCCGTACCAGGACATTTGGGGGCACATCCCACAGTCAGCATTTCCAAATCGTTAGAGTTAAATCCGACCATGATGGGCCAGTTAGTCACAAAAAATAATTTGGTTGATCAATCAATATATTTCATTGATATGATATACATAAATCTGGTGTTAAGGTATCCTGGAAAATGTTACAAAAATGGTTGAATGTGAAAAATTAGGTCTACTATTAAAATGCATTCATTTATATGGGCCTCATTCGACGAGATCATTATACCAAAAAGACGAAACCAGTAATCCCATCAATAGGTATATGATCGTATATATTCATTCATTATTGTTGATAATGGGATGTATTCAAGTGAAAAAATTTACATGGTATTTAAAAACTGTATTTATACTTGTATGTGTGTATATTAGTTTCAGTCGACAAACTTCGTAATTTTCTCCTTATTACACATGAATTAATTTTAGTGACTTTACTAAGATAACATCTTATATTTGATGAATGCCATTTTGAATGTTTTATGTTTACCGGTATCAGTACTGATGTATAAGGTGCCAAAAAGAACCATCTAAATCATTTTATTTTGGTGCGTTTCGTTTCCTGTAATATTGGTATTTATAGATATTAAAAGAAGTTCACTATACGAAGTGTCAATATAGCTTAACTATAAAAACATACAAATAAAACTTGTAGTTTAATAAAATTTCTATAGAGATGTTTATAACGGTAACTGTAGTGGATACCATATGTTGACTAGATTCTGTCAGCTTTCATTAACACAAACGATCACCATATTCTAAATGCAATTTGTATATTTTTTTCAAAAAATATATACTGTGAAATTTTTATTATAGCATACAGAACAAAAATATCAGAACAGAGGCGCTGAAAGACTATGGTGACAAACTGACTACTTGTCAAACTTTTAATATCAGTTATATAGGATATTAAAATTTCTAATCTGTTTTCAACATTAATCTTTATCAGTCAATAAAGCATACTGATCAGATATTGTTTCTAGCTAGAAGTCTACTGGAAATTAAAACTGATTTAAAAAATTAGCTGAATTCATTAGTCAATTTAAGCTAGACAATCGTAGAAAACCTGGAAGCACTGGACGGCCGTTTCGTTTAATTGTGGGACTACTCAGTAGTGCGCATCCACGCTATATATATATATATATATATATATATATATATATATATATATATATAATATTACGAAATATGTTATTTACTGCCCATCTTTGATTAAATGAGTAACAAATTCATTTCAAACCTCTTTGCTTAAAATTTTACTATTTGAATGGACAAAATGTCTCCGATATAAAACTGTTTTATTTTGAAGATACATAAATCAGCCTAAACCCCATTCTACCTTTTCAGTTTGTAAGTATAATAAAACTAAGGGAAAAGATATATAAGTTCACAAGATGACACTGTTCTATAGTTTTATTATTGTCTATTAAAAAAAAATTAGGTGTCAGATAACATCTAGTCATATATTTAACATCACTAGAGTGCCATAGACATATGAATGCATAATGTAACAAACAAGGTATATGACGATAATTTTCAGCTTAAGACTTCAACGTTTTATTTTTTTAAATGGAACTATAACATAACGTTTTTCCTATATAGCGATTACAAGTGGTGTTTAAATAGTCGAATAGTTGATCTGTTTATTGTATGAGAATAAATAATTAGTGTCTTCAAAGGGATGAAAATCATTCAACTAAAAAAAACTTTTAACCATCAACGGACAAATTAATTCGATACAAATATACTGTCAAGCTTAACCAGACTAGTGGAAAGCCTGGAGTAAGATAAGCATTGCCATAAATTGTATAAATAAAACGCTTCTTTTATTACTACATTTACTTTGTTTTTAATTTTTTTGTTATATTACAGTTTTGTAGAAAAAAAATATGGTAGAGTAGGAATAATAACAAGCTGTTTTTTATGTTTTCTGCCTGTTAATATTTCAGTTACGCAATAGTGTTGTGGATGAAATACACTTCATTTGCAGTATTTGAAGCTCAATTCACGATCAGGAAACTCTCAGTTTGGATTTGAAAAAGCACTGAATATAAAAGCACTATATAACTACAAAAGCATTGTACAAATAATTTTTACATGATTGTGCATACAATATGAATAAATTAATAGAAGGTCTATGAAGTAATCACAATAGTTACGATAGTAATAATTCGCTTCATTAAAAACGTATGATAAATGAACGTAACTCAGCTAAAATAATAAGAAAGTTTTCAATCGTTTTTAAAATATTATTAAAAATAGTTAAACTACTTTTGATGGTAACTATAAAATTCTTGAATTAGTCCGAATTAAAGAGATATGATCTTCTACGTTTGCCAGTCATTAGCGTCACAGTTAATCATTTCTCATACTATTTATTAAGCCGTGAAGGTCTAAGGAAATAAAAACGTTGAATTATAAAGTATTTTTGGAATTTTTTCTTCTTTTATCCGAATAAACTTTCTACGCAAATATTTGACACTTGGGTTTCAGTCTTGCGTGATTTGAAAAGTCGACTCATTAAGCGATGCTTTAACGTCTAGATTTTCCATTGACATATTTTCCCGGATAGTAAAATGTCAACGTGGCTACACGTAATCAAGTAAAGATAATAAACTACTTTAACTATACTACATGATCATCGTTTACTATGTTTCTTTTACAGATTTACGCTGATTCGTTTCACTTTCCTTGCACATTAGTGTTGGATGTCATACACAATCTCATTTTAATAAAGCAATGAGCTTTGATCATGTTACTGTGATCTAGATAGTAACAGTTACGTAAATATCGTTAATTTTATTATTTATTACGCAAGAATCTTTGTTTATCAGTCTTTGTTAATTTTAATTATGGAACATTATTCAGATTACATTATATTTTCATTTACTTATATGATGTGATTTAGTTACTGGATGGAGACTGTCGTAAGCATTGTGAAATATATATTTTCTCCTCTTAATTACATGTGAACATGAATGGTTGAAAAAGATCAAAAGACAGTTATTGTAAATAATATTGGGCAAAGATATTTTCTAATGTACAATAATAAATATATACATGCAATAATATCCAGTCGTACATAAAGAAAATATCTATATAATTATACACAGAAATCTTTAATAGAACTTGTGTACAGTGAGATCAGTGATGGTTAAATACATTAGACAAAGCAAACAACCAAATATAACTGTTTAGTACATACTTCATTACAACAAAATATTTCTTTATATCGTTCCAAATACCTGATAATGAGGTAGATTTAAAAGATCATGGGTATAAAAAAGCTGTCTGATAACTGTATAATTAATTACATATTAAAATAAACTTAATTTATAAAGGCATATTATTAACAGTTTATTTGAATACCTACATAAATGGTCAAATGAAAATCACTTCTTTAGATAAAGATATATATATGTAAAAATAAGAATAATTAAGAAAAAAGGTTTGGAATGTTGAATTATGGCAATGATGCTGCTGCTGATCACCGAATAATCATTATAATCACAAAGATTCAAATCAAATTCCAACAGTTTCAGGATGGTGTATTAATGCATGTATAAAAGAGGAATGAAATAAGAATTTTCATTGAATTGCGTTTTAGGGAAGAATGTATTTACAACAAAAAATCCATAAAAGATATAAATCAACATACATATTTTGTTTCTCAGAAAGCTCACAATATAATTATAACCACAACGAACTAAGTATTAGGAAGTAATAGTGATAGTTAATTTGACCTTTAACTGTATGTTATCAATATTCATTCTTGTTTTCCTTGGTGAAGTGAATGCTTTAACTATTCTTAGCGTTAGAACATCGAAATATATGTACTGTATGACATAAGTTGGTGATAACTTTAAAAAAACGCATAACACTTACTTTTACTGTTATATATATATATATATATATATATATATATATATATATATATATATATATATATATATATATATATATAGTTGTTCTATATCATAATACGGGAATTTTTCAAATTCTAAATGACTTTTATTTCCTATAGTTGAGATCATGAGTCAATTGAAGTTAGACCACCATGGAAAACCTGGAAGCACTGGATGGCCGTTTCGTCCTATTGTGGGACTCCTCAGTAGTGCGCATCCACGATCCCGCCTCGCAAGATTCGAACCCAGGATATATCATTCTCGCGCGCGAGCACTTAACCGATAGACCATTGAGCCAACTCATGATCTCAACTGTATAAAATTACTAAAATCTCTACAAAACCCCCTTCTGATAATTTTATTTTTCGTCAATTTCAAAACTGTTTGTTTTCGGTTTAATGAATACGTAAGTAACGAGTTCTATAAATAACAAATTAGTGTTTTTCATAATTACTTATATCAAGTATATAGAAAACAAAATATTATTCAGTGTAACTCATAAATATTATCTTACCAAAATAAGTTCTCTGAGCTTGCATTGAACAATAAGGTTGCTTTATAAAAATAAATCAAAATATAAATGATGTAAATCGTTATGCAAAAGTGACTTTCGAGATATTACACCATGAAGAAACAAAACAATCCATTCTAAACGTATATCCAACGTAAAATCAAAATTTCATATAAATACAGAATACTTTTGATACATCTATCATCATATTGTTCTTAAAGTCAACAACACGCTCACTACTATTTTCAATTTAGATGGATTACAAATGACAGTAAACGTTTCAAGTTACTTATTTTGAGTGTAGTTTGGTTTTTTACAGCGATCTAAATGAATACGGTGACGTATTTGAGTTGTTCCAATTTAATCGTCTGTATTTCGCATAATTCATCCTTAAACAAGGTAAGTTGACACAGTTGATACAGTGTTGTTATATTCAAAATAAAAACTTTGACCTTGTATATTTAGCAGTTACAAATCTCAACAACTTTTACGCAACGACCTACGTGTTAAATGCTGTTTCTCTATACTAGTTCCTTGAAAAGTTGAAACTATTGTTATTGATAAAAAGTGCAATTATTTTATGTTTGTAATACATTTTTGAATGGTTGGCTCTTTTGTAGGTCGTTTTGTATTAGCACGAAAGTTATCTAATTAAAACCTTATAATAATGTTTCCTCGTGTTTTCCATTTAATTTTTTGATTGTGATGATTTCTGAAACGTATTAAGCTGATTAGCTAAGAGTGAAATTATTATTTATAGTAATTTTAATTTAGTCAGCACCTGATATTTTTATAGTTTGTCAATACCTTACCTCCTATTTGTTGCAGTTATATATATATGTCTAGATAGCACTTCATCCTTATAAAATGAAGACTTGTAAAAGACCATTGACATGTAAAAGTTCACTAGAAGTGCATATGAATCTGTCAAGTTTATGACAATCATCAATAATGTTAAATGTTCATTATTTAAGGTTCATAAAACTGAATGAATAGAGTTATTCAAAATATTTCGTATATAATCACAGACATTCCATGGATTGATTAGTTAGTATTTAATCTAACAAACAAGCATACTTACACTTTTTTTAAAATCAATGTTTGTTCGAACTGATCGATTATTCAATTTTTGAATGGTTCGGTAATTGTCAGCCATGCTGCCTGATCCTCGAAATGGTGCTATTCGAAGTTGACGAAGAGATTTTAGCTAAGATATTAGTGTGATAAGATAGAATCAAATACGCATTATTTCTTTAGAGATACAATATTTAAGAGGCAATAATAACTTTTATATACCTCTTTTTGAATATAGTGTTGTTGACCATAGTTACTAAACAAAAGCACTAAGAAATTTAAATATGTCACTGCGAAATGTTACATTTTTAAATCAGATCGGTTGGTAAGTTATTCATGTTTTTTAAGTTCTGATTAGTTTTATACAACAATTGATTCCAGCATATGATTTCGTTCGCTTGAATTATTCTAGGATATTCGTTCCCCTTTTTAAACTATTTTCATCGCAGTATGCAAGCTGAATTTATGTATTTGATGAGTAATAATAAGTGGAAAACACATTCAGCCTTTTATTTGAATGATGTAGTATTCAAGTGCACAAGTACATTTCTCAGGAAATTCGGCATAAAAAATAATAAGCGCCTAATGATTTCGTACAGACTAACTATATCTATAAGATAAAGCATTTTATACATCCGGAGTAATTATAGAGATAACTATCTAGTCAAAAGTTAGTATCTGGCTGAATTTGTATATGCTGAATAATGTACACATTAATTACTCTGAGCAAATTTGTAATTAGAATAATCCCTACTAACTAATTGTTTGGTTTCCGATATCTGTATTTTTTGAGATTATTCGTTAACAATATCTAATAGCTTCTGTTAAATCTCTTCAAAAGGATTTTGAAGGGAGAACACATACCAACAGACTGCAAAAGTTATTTCATCAAGATCTGAGGAGATATGAGGACTAAAGTGGTACCACACTACTGTCGGCATTAGGGAGAGTTTTTGACAGAATGTTGCTGAACCTGATAAAATATCCCGTAGACACCGAACTTCGAGATCAACAACCCGGATTCCGTAAGGATCGATCGTGCACAGGCCAGATAGTGAAACTACGAATCATCGTTGAAGAATCAATTGAATGGAACTCGTCAATATGCATCAACTTTCTTGACTATGAAAAGGTATTTGACTGCATTTATAGGAGAATCCTATGATATCATCTTCGATACTGTGGTATAATTCAGAAGATCGTCAGCTCCATGCAGAATTTTTACGAAGTTCTACACTGTGAAGCCGTGCATGGAGAGCAGTTCATCGATTCATTCCAATTGAATTTCAATGTCAGATAAGGCTGTATGCTATCGCCTCTGTTACGTCCTCTTCTTGATTATGACAGAATACGATACATAACTAACGGCAGTCGAATGTGTAGAATTCCACAGTCACGAACCAGAAGACGAAAGAAGCAGGGCAGTGTAGGAGACAGAAATGTTCAGAAAAACCAGGGTATTTATAATTATAAGTATTGACTGTTACACCACTATAATTCAGCCAGTTGGTATGTCAGCAAGGTATGCTATTGTCCAACCGTAGCATAAAACGCTGATATTTTAGAAGACTCCATTGTGTTCCCATTGAATGAAATCTTTTTGGTTATTTTAAAACTTCTGAAGCCTTTATCGAGCATTTTGAAGCCGTCAGAGCGCCTCCCCTCTTTCTTCTGATAATATACTGGATTATGAAGAACACTACATCTCAGAGAAGCACGGGATACAGTGAAGACCCTGAGTACACTTAGACGATTCGATCTTTGCAGATGATCTATCTCTTCTATCCCATAATCAGCAGCAAATGCAGGTGAAAAAAGTCAATGAAGCGGCAGCCTCTACGTCAGTAGTTATCAACATTTGCAAACAAGAAAGCGAGATACTGGAATACAACGCGGTGAACGCCAACCTAATGGAACACAAAGGTGAAGGTATGAAAGAGTTGCGAGCATTATCACTTGTCCATTATCATCCATAAAAATGGGGGATCGGGTGAGGAAATCAGAATTTTCAACGAAAACACCAAGTTAGTTCCATTGAACGGAGCCGAAACTTAGCAAACTACCTCAAACAGAATCAAAAAGGTACGAGTATGTTAAGGTACGAGTGTGTTAAGGAAGATACTCCATATTCTTTGACTGGATAACATTACAACGACTTATTATGGCAGAGACCAAATAAACTCTCAGTTAAAGAGAAAATAAGGAAGAGACACTGTTGGTGGATAGGAAACACATTGTAGAAATCACCAAACTGCATCACGAGCCAGGCCCTAACTTGGAATCACTCAGGATAGAGAGAAAGTAGGAGACCAAAGAACATATGGCCCAGGAAATTGCACCCAGACGTCAAGAGACTGGATAGTACTTGTCATTAACTAGGAAGGAAAGTGTAGGACAGTATCAGTTGGAGATTTCTGGTCGGCAGCCTATATGATACAAGGGATAACCAGTGTAAGCAGGTAAGTTAATACATTGCGTTTATATGACAAATGAAGTACAGAGAACAGCTAAACATCTTCAGACCTGACGCAAATCCTTATAAAGCAATGGGGCTGGATAGCACCATTAAAAGAAATTTTCCCAATTATTTCAAGTAAATGTGAGAAATATCATGTTTCTAACTTAAATGTCGCTTTATTTTTTAATATTTAAAGATTTCTAAATAAGATGGAATCAGTGATAATTTATTTAATAATAAACAGTGTTTTCATTTATGGATGCAATAGATCTAAGAACTTACGATAAATCAGAGTTGAAGATTCTCTGAATTTTAATTCATGCGACTGATTAATCTTACGGTGGGTTTTTGTGAGAAAAAATATCAATTTTTCTCACATACAGTAGCAACGCAAGAAACTGGCATTTTACTAATAATAACTAGTTGGTCAACGATTGCTGATTATTTCCATAATTTAGGTTCGTCAGTATTTATTATGAAAGTTTATGTCCTATATAATTACATACAAGATGGTAGTCCAGAGCCCGATTGCCATTTGCAGGATCGTTGATGTACACTACTGAGAAGTCTCTTACTATAATAAAACGGATGTCTAGTGCATCCACGTTTTCAATAACAGCTTAAATGAGATCAATATTTAATTTAAATATATTTATTCTGCATAGAAAACTTATATTTACGGTTTGGTTATACGCTTAGTTGGTAGAATAATTTATTCAACACAAATTTTTCATATTTGGAGTGGTTAAAAACGGTTTATGAATTGTGAATAAATGTTGTCTTACCTGAGTTTCTGTAATTACAATCGGTTGATTAAGCAAAATCCATGTTGCAGTCTCATAACAGGCAGGAAATGGTAAAGAGCCTTGGTAGGTTATATATTGCATAGTAGATGGTAATACAGCATCCAACAACAAACCATGAAGCCTTTTAGATTGTCCTTTAAAGAGCATTTGTTTATTATTACAATCAAAGATAATCAAAACAATTAGACAATGAATATATCTACATAATCGAATATTGGCAACAAACAGAAATATGAAACTGTTTTCTAGCCATCCTATCTACTATGTATAGGATAGCATGTAGTACATAATAAAAGTTACATTTTTTATGCAAATACCGCCTATCAATTTTCATCTTCATTCGTAATACTCTCCAGAAAATGGTAATGACATTTCTGCGAACTGAGAAAAGTAAAGCTATCTACTTAATTATCAATTCATTCTTCAGTAATGGTATTCAATATTAGTAACATACTTATAGAGGACATTTTTATTTTGTTGCTAATGCATCTTATTTACGAATTCGGTTGTGGGTTGTCAATGTCTGTTTATGTTAAGTAGTAGTATTCTGTTTGACAAGATAATTTTGAACGAAATGATACCAAATAATAATATTATCTAATTAGATAGGTAACTGAGGCAATTAGCAAAATTTACAATTCATCCAACATCATTCACAAATTGACGAGCATAAAACTGGTACAAACAAACTTCAACAGTTCGATGGGAACAGTATTTATTATACTTGTTAGCACTAAGCACATTAGTGTCTATAATCCATTTTATCAGCAAAGGGACATTATTATGGATCAAGATAATAGATCCATACGGTTTGTTCAATTTCATAGGGTAATTGACTTTAACATCTTTTTATTGTTTCAAAATGTGTCTCAGTCTCCTTGCTAACTTTTATCAAAAGAGTTGAACTAAAGTATACCTTTTAATTGAACCTGCTCTGCCGTAGATAGTAATGCTTCCAAATCAGCTGATGATTGATCACCAATCTGAAAGATTATAGAAATAAATTAATTGAAACTAATTTAATCAGTAATTTATATACAGTTAACTTCTATTTATTGAGCTGGTCAACTTTGTTTAAGAAATAGTTTTCTTACTAGCATTATGTGGAGATTCAATCAATTTAATCCAGTCATTTCTTAGGCTAACATTAAAACTTTATGGCAATTTGTGAACCATATGGCTCATTTTATTGAGAACACTCGTTCAGATATTATATATATATATATATATATATATATATATATATAATGGACGAATACGTAGGTGCGGTTGATTAGTTTTTTTTCTTATGAAAGATTACACAGTGTCTTCGTAAAATATGAAAACCATACATTTAGTACATCATTCGCGCACATTCTTTTAGTTGTTCTTCAAATACTTCTTGATTCCTTCCGTTCTGTTATTACTCCAGTTACTCTTTGTTTCCCTTCCTCTTCTGTTAAATTCAATGTTCTTTTCGCGAACATTCCACTTCTGATATATATATATATATATATATATATATAAATTTTACTGAATATTAATGATTCATAATTAATACAAATAAAATTACGGATGTCATAAATTTTAAACCAGATTTAATAGGCATTCAGCTTACTTATATATTAAAAATGACCAGATACCAAGTCTATCCTCCAATCGTAAGTATTGAAATTAAGATTGTTTAAATAGACTAAATTAATCTATCGTCCTACTGACCATATCATTATGTTATACATATATATTATTGTTTTACAGTAATTTAAAATCTGAATTTTTGATCTATCCCATCAGATATTGTGAGGAAGAATTATGAATATCTCAGGTTCCTCATTCCGCCGATTTTTTCTAATATCATCTACTGAATAGACATTCATATGCTTGGGTTGGAGCCTCATTTTAAATATCACTACTATCAATACCATGCGGTTGTTCAAACTGAAATAATTAAAGAGTTGTTTGATCTTTCAATTTGTTGATTGAAGGTCAAAAGCCTTAATCACTGATCCATCGCTGCTAATTTGTTGACAGATTATACAGATGGCTATTAACCTTCACATGTCAATATATTCACAAACAACACTAAATATCTATAATCTTTATTACATTCGATAACATGTCCATTTGCTTACATAATTAGGAACAATATTTATTTCGATATACATATATGTTGTCAGAAATGCATTCAAACTAATACAACTTTTGTTTCTTAAGTCAATGTAACAATAATAAAGAGTTTTACTTTCTCAAGATGGCAATTTATGTATCTTTTTTTATTTAGTTTATATCCATTAGTAAATCTCTTTTATTTTAATTACCGGCACAATGTGAATTTTTTTGGTAACGAAAATTAACAAAATAAACTTACTTTAAAAAGAACGGACAATACAGCTAAGCCATTGGGTTTTGAAAGTGCGTTAGAAAAGTTTTGGTATAAAATAAAATTGAATGCATACAGTTGTAGCTATGAAATAAATATGCAAAAGAAGAAGTGCGTAATACCAGTATAAGCATAATTTAGCTAATATCGTTTAATTATTTAAGATGTTATGACAAAAACCAAGTCATATAATTACATGTAATCAAACACGGTCTTAGCTAAGCAGTCGGAAAGCTAACCGCATATGATATAAAAGTTAGTGAATATGCCGGTTATAATCAGATATTAAACCAGGTTCATATTGAGTATGAGTCCACTCACAATATCAGTGTTTTGTCTTGTTGAATGAACAATGACACAGTGTGGTTGGATAAAGCACTATTATTTTTATTTTAACGACTTAAGCGAACACAATGTCTAAACAAACTAACTTTACATAATACAATATATTTTGCTATTACCGGCTCTTCATCTATAAAGTGATGGATAGAACTACCAGCCATTTCAAAAGATAAATTTGAGATGTAATACAAAATATTTTTAATTCAACAGTAGACAAATACCTCAGCTGGAAAAGCAATACCATCAATTTGGTGATCCGAACCACGGTCTGATCTTGAGCCAAATTTGATTAAAGCTCCAAAGAATTTATAGTTATATACTAATGGTCCTTCACTGAATACAACTGATGCTATTGAATCGAGGATTTTCACCTGTAAATCTTGTCCTGTATTCACAACCTCCACATCAATCTAATAAAAAAGTACATAAGCGTTAATAAAATCGAAATGTAATATATCACCATTCACCCTGCTCTACTTTTGATTGAACTAAACTAAACTTACTAAGGATAAAATAACATGCAATTTTACACTAGCAAATTTTTTTAGATCTTCAGTGTACAAGATGAAATGCTCCGAAAAACGTAAGTTGGAAATAAACAACTTGAATAACAATTACACAGGCAGAGACGTTTCTCAACTGTGTATAATGCAAACCAATCACGATTCATGCAGTTATTACAACTTATAGAACGTTCAGACTTCGAAGTCTTCAAGTGGATTCTCTCTTCTTTTGAAGATGTTTTAAGTAGGAATCCTTGTTTTCAAATTCTTGGATCTCATAGGGATTTTTCGCAATGAAGTATTGTAGTGAACAGAACACGACTTGGGGACAATCGAATGTATTTAAGCAAAGATTACAGACTATCTCAATAAATTCTGATTACCAAACAATGAACAGTCAATTTGCAAATTAACAACCAATAGTCTTGATCTTCACTGTTTCTTCTCTAATTCCATTGTTCGTACATTTTCCAACCGATTGCACTTCATTCCAGTTCTTTCGTCATCGGTCTTCTGCCAAAATACATTCTATGTCTGACCCACACCATATACTACTTATATGGATATAAGTAGACCACACCACACTCGTCCCCCCTTTAAAGCATTCGACCATGCGGTGGTTCTGCTCGCCACGCCACTATCCTCTTTCACTGCAGTCTGTGCCAAACTCTCCGTCAGAATGTCGAGTCTGCGGCGCGCTGACCTCCATAGCTCCGTCGACCTGCCGGGGCACCAACTTCCTCATCCACCCGGCACCTGGGACGTTCAACACCCGTACTCCACCGGCCTGCTGAGCCATCTACATCCGATGTCCGCACAGCAGCCGCACGTCCCACTGCTACTCTCCGTCGACAGCACCCACTACAGCCAACGCCGCCCCGCCAGAACACTCCACTCGACGCCACCCCTCCGCATCAGACTGCCCCAACAAGCACCTCAACTCCAGACCCGCAGCGGCGTCCGCAGAACAGCACCCTTCCTCCTCCCGGTTGGCAGCGACACCAAATGTAGTGAACAGAACACTAGTTGGGGACAATCGAATGTATTTAAGCAAAGATTACAGACTATCTCAATAAATTCTGATTACCAAACAATGAACAGTCAATTTGCAAATTAACAACCAATAGTCTTGATCTTCACTGTTTCTTCTCTAATTCCATTGTTCGTACATTTTCCAACCGATTGCACTTCATTCCAGTTCTTTCGTCATCGGTCTTCTGCCAAAATACATTCTATGTCTGACCCACACCATATACTACTTATATGGATATAAGTAGACCACACCACAGTATCAGTCATTATCTATATATGTCTTTTTACGTAAATGCACCCTTTTACATGAATTGATTTGCTTTTTAACAAATATGTTCGTTTATGAATATAAAATAGGTTTATTTTATAAACCAATAAACACTCCAGAAACTAGCCATTTCATGCTTAAAACGTTCTCTTAAAATATTCAAAAGTTTTGTCAATATGTTCAGAAATTTATTGCCCAATATCCTAACTTTTATATTATATCGACCTAACCATGAAAGGTTTTACAGTCGAATATTTGCTTAGAAACACGTTTCTCGTTAGATTTTGTAAATTTAACACTTCTACTGGACCATAAAGTCAACTTTTATTTCAGTGTCTTAAAATAGTGCCAAATTCAGTTGTTTAGTTTTCATCTAGTCGAACTGACACTTCGTATAGAACGAAATATTGAAGAATTTACTGTGGTGTAAACAATCAGGCTGACACTTACTTGCTTATCTGAACCTGAAATTTTCAGTGGTACCAAATTAGGATCATATAGTAAATGTTTCGTGGAGATACTGATTGGAGATTGCATTTTCCCTTGATAACAAGCTGGCCAAACGTCACTGGCAATAGCCATGAAAGCTGTCTGTCCCCAGTGACTCGGACCTAGAAGTGAATGAACCCAAATATTTTAAACTTATACGCCATATTAATTATAATACTGAGAATTTAGTATTATATATATATATCAATCCATTTTCTACACACAGTTTATAAAGATTATGCTATAAAATATTCATTCAAATTTATAAGTGGAACACAGAAAATCGATTGAGACAAATTAATCCATACCTCCCATTACGCCTTCTTTATAGTGCCACCATGTATCCCAAGAAGGATCCCAAGAACCATCATGCCACAAAGCATTCATTCTCCCTAAAAAATATTTCAATATATATGTATATATATATATATATATATATAATATTTCAAAAAATATTTCAAACTGAAACTGTCAACACTAACAAAATTAATTGATACAATGAATTCCTAATGTGGAATCGTTTCTTAATGTCTATACACGTGACAAATATTGAAATATGGAATCACTTACTTCGTATTTACCAAGAAACGTAAATTGCACATAATTTTATCAACAGTATTTATATTTTCAACTGAATATATTTCGTCGTCACCACACATTAACAGGCTACCTGTTCCTGCCATCTAGATATTTCAACAAGTTATCTGTTTCCATGTTTGTTTTAACAGATCACTATGTCAATCAATTGCATAACCTATTCAGGTGCATTTATGAAAAGTTTGCGACCCTTGACTGTACAAGTTACAAAAATGTACAGTTGGAGACATTGTGATGGTTGGCAATATGCATTGAAAAGAATGTGTACCATTCAGATGTCAACTTCTGTAATGTTCATATCTAACTGACGATAACTCAATATTTATTGTCGATATCGATCAAGAAATAAGAAACGGAAACTCACTGAAATAATTTGTAGTGAGAATTCTATATTGTGCCAAAAATATAATATTGAATAAAGCTAATGATAAATAGAATAAATTAAAAAAATAAAGTAAACCCAACACCAAATCTCTTTGGATATGTATCAAACTTTTTATTCACATTACGTTAAAAGAAAGTTCAAAAGTGGATACAGTTGCTTCACACAACCAAATATATTCCTAACAAATTTAACGACCTCATCGATATCTCATGAATTAGCATTGTTCTATAGAAAAAACCCAATTATGTGGTTATAATTTAAAAATTATTTGACCAATAGTCTCAAAAAACATTCAGTTTTTTATTGCTGTTCTTCTTTTAAAAACTGATCCGAAGATGAGGACAATTTAAGATATTTTTATACTTGTTAAAAAACATCTTCCTAAGTGATAACTAATATGATATAAAATTGTACTACATTAGATAAAAAGCTACTCGCACTTACAACGAACGCAATTTAAGCCAGTGGAATATTAATGTAGTTTGTGCTACTGATACAAGTTGTATGTATCATCACTCAAAAGTGAAATGCCTGGAGTCAAAAGGTTAAGGAGATGAAAGAAAAGAGAACAAGAACAAAGAATGATTGATGTGGAAACAAAAGAACAAAGAAGTCTGAGACGACTGATTGATATTTTCACAGGGAACAGTTAAATTCGAGACTATTGATTGACATTTTGCAAATGAAGTATTTACTGTATGGTTCTCACATTTTACTAGGATTTTTTGTAATTTCGTGTTCTCGTTCACTAAAGTAGTATTTAATCCATTTTAGTAAAAGTGTACTTATCTTCGAATATTTGTTATTTAAGTCAGTTATACTGGCATATTTGTTGGACGTTTCAATCAAAGAATTGTTTAGAATGACTACGGTCTTATTTTCTATTTAATCAACCATTTATTTCTTATTTTCAAAAGAAATTTTTATCCATAAAAGTACAGCAGTACAACAATTAAGAAATATATACAACGGTGAGTAAACCATATAATTAACTCTTGTTTTTCTATTTTCTCAAGATTTGAAGCAAAACACATTTATCTTACACTGATATTATAATGTTTCTAGATTCACAGGAAAACCAACGAACCACAACTTGTGATTAAAGTTTGTTTTTGTTTCAAGGTGTATTTTTCAGGGGAAAGGAATTTGGATGAAATACCATTCAAAATAATATAACTAAATTTGAATAATATGTTCGACTTATTCTAAAAAACTAAAATAATAATTCTTGCATTATCCTTACTGGGGATAGACTTATTTATATTTTTTATATACACATGGTATATACTTCCTGTAGTAAATTTAATAAGTATGACCCATAACTTGTGTAACTATTGAATATCGGCACATATAACTTACATTTAGCATGTGTTCACATATATTTAACATAGAAATGCCCAATCACTTCTTACAGCTTGTAATTCTTTTGTGTTATTTACGATATTTATGTGTTTTGTGCTTTGTTATTGACGACTACTACTAATTACCCCGCTAATCATGTGACATAGACTAGGTAACATCAAAACTATGCTTCATTTATAATTTTAGATAATATTAAAAAGATAAGTCAGTATGGATGACAAATACATAATGTATCCGCCTAAACTAGTTCAATTAAGAAATGATCTCTTTGTGCCTTTCCAAGAGTTGCTAATAGATAATATTACATTGACTTTATAATCAATAACCCAAATGTCTAGCACTGTGAATATCATCATATAGCTTGCAATAAGGTAAATTAACATAGCATAATAGATAGACGGCATTTGAATAATACATTTTTTAGATCAGACTGAAATAGTGAGATAAACGTTTCTAGGTTCATCAAGGCAACTTTCACCCGTCATCTGGAGAAATAGGTATTCCGTACTTGATTTTGTTTGAAAAGCTGACAACAGATTTTCATTCTGGTCTAAATGAAACTAACATTTGTGAAGTTTCCTCACTTTTACACTTAACGTTTAGAAGGACGAGTAAAATGTCAGTGAATTACGTGTTTGATACTCCAATATTTTATTAAACATATCTGTAACGGTAGCGTCGAAAACCAAGTAACCTTTTTGATGTATGTGCTTCTATTATATTTGTCGACAGTTATTTAATTTAGCATAACATTTATTATAAATCAGGGTTTAGCATTTCCAAGACCTTTTATGCTATTCATTAAATTAATTTCTCACTTATAAAAAGATAATGTAAACATGAATTAGAAGAAAATCCCCTATCATGAAGTTGTTTATTTTGCAAATAACTGTGAATTCATTCAAAGAACCGATTTAAATCGACCGATTTCGAAAATACTTCTGTTAATATTGCTTAGAGGATTGAAGAAGTCACTGAATGTGAGTTTTGACTGTCAAATAAAGTTAACAACAAAATACTTAAAAAAGCAAAACAATTATAAGTCTGATAACTTCAAAGTACATTCGGATCAATCATGATTCAATGTAAAAATGACTACAGGTACAAACGTAGTCAACTGTTTTTATTCCTGCTACTTATTTATTGTTTGTTTTAAACTATTTTGTCAGCATATGGTATCATTTCAAAGGTATATTTATAGTATAGGGATTATAAGAAACAGGAAAATATGTAAAGATTTTTACAACGTCAACAAAAATAATCCAAAAGTTCATTTTGGCATGTTAAATAAGCAGCATATGAAATAAACATGAATGATTCATTATGAAATGACACTGTCAAATCATTGAAATGACCTATTTGAATCGTCAGTTATCATTGCGAAATTTCCTGCTTAGGTTACAAAATGAAAACACCACATTGTTGTAACATCTCTTGTCAATTGTATATGCATTAAACATTCTACAGAGAAACGTAATTAACTATGATTCTAGTCAACTGATATTCAACGTGTTTTAGAATTATCTATTGCGAACGTTACACGTTGACCTTCATTTCACTATAAAAGTAGAAGTACAAAAACAAATTTGTCAATACAAGAATCTTTCATGCTTTAGTGACAACTTGTTAAATAGACTATATTGACCTTCATATGCACAGGTCAGTTTATGATTCACACTCGACAAAAGGAGTGAACGTGCTAACGCATTCATTTCTAACAAAAGGGAAAATGAACTACGTCTTACATAAATGTTTTGCCGAGGCATTTAGGATCTGGTTGCTAGCTAAATCATTTAATTTCCTTACTATTAGAATTTCTCCAATTTCCTTTTCGGATGTATTGATCGATTATGAGTTGTTCGTGAACTAAGTTAATCAGCCCATTTGCTTTAAACTTGCTGACTCAAATATTTCAACATCATATGTCACAAAGACCCGAGATAATTTATTAAAGTTATGAATCAAAGATTTAATTTACAAAAATGTTCTTAAAAATAGTTTTTGTTTGACGTGTCTCTGGTTATCACTGTTCAGTGAAAGTTTATTTGAAATCGCAACATGTAGTTTTGCATGAATTTGAGTAAACTCACCGTTTACAACAAAATTAGTATCCAATTTTTAGGTAGATGAGGAAGTATTTTGTCCAAACATTTCGAAGCGGTTCGCAAAAGCACTCACTTAAATAGTTTGATCGTCTCATGTTTCAACTTTTGCAGTCGAGATAAATACGGCATATGTGTACTGATATAATATAAGATTTAAAATAAATACGTTATCCTAAGTGTTATTTGATGTGATAAAACCTCTATTTAAAATTATGTCTATTAGTTACCGACTTGTAAATGAGTCTCAGAAGTTCTAATGAGAGATTGTGACCTGAGAATACCATTCTACTTGTAGACATGTAATAATCCATTGGCGAATCGCTAACCGAATGAAGTTGGAAGTATGAACCACTTGAGATCTATCCCAGATGCCTTAAATTGAAGCTCTTGTTGCTAACTTCAAGAGGTTCTAGATCCAATTCCACACCGTATCTTTGATGCATTATGTTGTAAAATTATTTAATAGAAGGAACAGTTGTCCTATTCTTCCTGATTTTCACCGGTCATTAAAATGATTTCCCTTTTTATGTAAATTAAAGTGAGACAATGTATAGAAATATCATTTACAAAAAATATCAGATAATAACGAGTATAGTCAAATTTATACCATCAGGATTCCTATCTGATCTTCAATAATGGAATTATTTAAAACTATTCCTGCAATTATCTTTTTTTATGTTTTTAAATGATAACTATTTCTTTTATTAATCTGAATTTAAACTAATCAGTCAGATAGATACAAATCATACTGATTACTCATTGTTTTGAATTATACATCAATCATATTTCGTAATTCCAGAGGTGGGGTTTTAGATAAACTAAACAATCAGTTTTCTTCAAACCACCGTTATTTTACGATCATTAATAAATACAGCA